TATTTAATATTAATTTATATAAAAAAATATATAATAAATATATTGTGTGGGATAAGTTAAAAAACTTTATTCTTTTAATTTTAATGATGACTGCCACAATTGGTCCCAAACTTATTTTTCATAAGTATCAAATATTATTTAAGCTTTCACAAAAAAGTATTATTCTAATTTCCTAGTTTGATAAATTGTCTACTAATTATACAATTTTTATTAATTTATCTAAAATATATATTTTCTCTTAAAATAGTTATTAACTTTCAAAATCATATCAAGTATTATTTTTTTTTCAACATTAAGCCATTGTAGGTAGTTAACATGACAAAAAATCCTTATAAGTACTTACGTGGTGCCACGTTATCTGTCACGTCACGTAAATACCTCATGACCAAAAAAGAGGGGCCATGTGGTGTTTATGTGGCAGATGAAGTGACACAGCATAAGCGATGATAAAGATTTCTATTATGTTAATCAAGGCAGTGGCTTGCGGACTGACTTGATATGACTTTGGAAGTTAATAAGTTATTGTGGAAGAAAAAAAACATTTTAAATAAAATTAATAAAAAATATATAATTAATAGACAATTTATTAAAGTAAGCCTTAGTCTTGACCAATCAATTTAAATTAGAAAATGTTCCCATCACAAAAATAAAAAAAAAAGATGGTCCCAAACGCCAAAAAATCTTTGAAATGGACATGTTCTTTAACGTTTCCTTTCTTTCTTCTTTTCTGCCTTAACATTTTCTTGGTTTATTCCAAAGGAAAACATGGAAGAATTTCTTTTTCTATGTATTCGACACATGAAAGAAATTAAATTAAAGAGATATAGACTCATACTCATAAAAGTGATCAGCAAGCAAATATGGAACAAGTTAAAATAAAGAAGGGAACAAATTAAGATGATAGAAAATGAAGAGGCGATGAAAGAGTAGGTTCTTACCGGCTGCAGCCGCTCCAACAACATCTCCCTTGGAATCCCTTATGTTTAAAGCCAGCCTGGTTCTGTAGTTACTATGAATGGAATAAAAGTCGGAGAGGGCCATGTTGATGTAGCTCAACCCTAACTTCCCAACCCAGTCATCCATGTCAAGAACCACTCCCACATTCACCGGAATTGTTGCTTTTTCCGTAGTGTTTTGAGTCGCTGCCACCTCCACTGAGCCAAAGACAATTGAAAGGCAGAAAAAACAGAACAAGTGTTTGGTAGGAATTGTCTCCATTTTTTCACTTTCTGGATCGGAGGATGGTTTAATTCAGACCCAGAGATGCGGATACCATTATTTATAGCCAAAACCTTAGGCCCCTAAACTTACGTCAAAATTTTGATTAAACTTCTAAACTTTTATTGAAGTAAATAAACTCTTTAATTTATCAATTTAAACAATTTAATCTTTTTCTTTACAGTCAGCTTAATGCCATTTGTGTCTCGTTTAGATGAATAAGGTATTAACATATCATTGTTGGGTGATGTTATTGTCACAGCCTCAATTACCAATACTATACTTTTGTATTTTAATTGACATTATACATTTTAATTTATTAAGAAACAAAAAAGTATACAATTTTGAAACAAATTGTGATGTAAGAGTATATTAGATAATTACATTAAAAAGATATGGTATTGATAATTTAAGATGTGACAATAACCCCACCCATCATTGTGTACCTGGAGGGTATTAACCTCATCTAATATCTATGCAAATAAGGTACAAATGGATGTTAAATTTATTATAAAAAAGAGTATTAAGCATCTAAACACAAGGTTTAAAAACTTATTTATTTCAATAAACATTTAAAAATCTAATACAAATTTTAAAATAAATTCAATACTTAATATTAAGTTTTGTCTTATTGATATGGATTTTTTTAATTTGTGTCATAAAAGTATTTTTTCTAATAAATGTATATAAA